GGAAAGAACTGTTAGCTCGAGGTTCTGTGGTATGAAAACTCAGCCCTAACTAATGTAGATGCCAGAGGTGGTTTCAGCAGAAATGGCCAAGCAGCATCATCTGTGGTGATACAGAAGCACACACAGCTTTTTTCAAAATGACATACCACACCTGCTTTTAGCCCTGCTTAGGCTGGCCAAGTTCAGGAGATCCTTAATGCATCTGCCTGGTGGAACATCATCCTGTCAGGCTGTCAAGACCTTGCTCACGTTCATCAGTATTACAGGTGTAGTGCAAGGGCTTTGTTTGACTAGTAGGACTACTTAAAAGACAATTTTATAGATACTCTTTCACTGAATATCCTTAATATACACCTATTTTATAACTAAGTAGTATTATTAAAACTAAGTACTCCATGCTAAATATAGTAGGACTTCTGTACACTGCAATTTGAAAGTGATAAAATATTAAGTACCCTGGAATGTTCCCAAGAAACACACTCAAAACACCTGTGCGTTAGCAGTGTCGAGGAATAAAGTCAAGCTGAGACAGAGGTTACCACTGGGGACTGTCATGTCAAGGACAAACTGACGCCAGTCTGACCTAGCATTTTAATGAGCAACACTTACACTGGTACAGCTGCACTGATGAAATCTGTTGTCTGACAGCTCAAAGCTGAGACCCTGCCAAGACAGGAGGACTGGACTAACCTATAGAAAAGACTGCATGGGTTTGATGAATAACAGCTCCAGAAAAAATCCAGTGAAACAAAAGTGGTGGGTCACATGCCTGGAGACTAATAAAAACTTCTGCATGCAGCAACGAGTTTTAACAGTTGGAAATGAGGAGAAAATTCTGTGAGTAACAACTGACCACAAGGTGGTTGCAATACAACCACAAAAGAGGCAAATGTCAATTCAGGATGTAAAGACAAAGACCATCGCAGTGGAAGTGATCAGACAGAATAAGGATCAATACTACTCCCTAAGATCCTACTTAGAATTAGACTATTTCTGACATACTGTACAAAACAGGAGTCACTCATTTTCAAAAAAGGCAAATTCAAACCAAACAGACATAGGAAATTTGCACAAAGAAGAGAGATCCTGTCTTACAGGTGTCAATGGAAAGAACTTAACTTTGGCTGGCAAAATTGCAATCAGGAAGGGACATTATTGTCACTTACAAACACAACAAAGTCGTCAAAACCACTGCAGGAAAACAAATATAACCAAACAGCAACAAAACATAACCATGGCTGGGAATGCAGATGAGATGGAAATTGGGAAGATTATGAAAGGGGAAATGCAGAGGACGTTTGTGGCTCGTAAGACAGAGCTTAGGCAGCTTACAAGTGGGGGTTTGCCATATGCTTATGAGCACTTCACACTGAACACAGGACACTAGTGCTGTATTCATTCAATACATACACATAGGAGGCCAACAGACTAAAAACATTGAAAGCAAATCCACCCAGCAAACTACAGCTTCCCAATTAATGAAACCATTATTAATATTTCACCCTTAGGACAACATCCCTACAACAGATCTACCAACCCACCGAGGTTCTCCCTGAGACAACAGCTGTGGCAGCATTTCCTTACAGGTACAATTCACCTACACTCAAGATTCTTCCAGAACTGGCAAGGAAATTGGGCATCACACCACTGAAGAGCAGTGTACTTGCTCAGAAGGGTTGTGGTAAAATGCAAGTTAGTTTTTCTACCTCTCAGATCTTTCTCACTCTCAAAATAGCACCACCATTCCCTGCATCCAGTTCTGTTTTCCTGCAGTTAAGTGGGAGTGGCAATTCTTTTCAATTTCATAAATTAAATCCTGCTTGAAATGGCTTTCACACCAAATGCCTGTTACAAAAAGTGAAACTGAAACGTTCTTAGACATGGAAATGAAAAGCAAAGAAAACTTAATTATCACATGAAAATTAGTATTTTCCCTGACAATTTATTCTCCTTAGGCAAGGTTTTGCATGATGCTTAATTTCCATAATAAAATGTCACAGCTGATTCATTACATTACATTTGATTAGCATTTATCACATTTTTGGCGCATTCATAGATTGGTTTTGGACCAAAGCCAGAGCAGTTTTGTTTCGGAGCACTGCTGAAGTGAATGGACTCACACCAAGCATTTCTGGTCAGGGAGGGGCAGCTTGTATCTTTTTGAGGCAAGTATTTTATAACAGGTTTGGCTTTGCTTTAGACATTTGTGGTGCTGCTTTTTTGGGTTTTAATTTTGTTTTAAGGTCCACTTGAATAAATTAACCCAGAGAGAAGCACTCTCTAAACACAGGGATTATCCCTTAGCATTATGCAGCAAATGCTACAGGCTCCGTAATCCATTGGCAGGTTTTCAAACCAAACCTTATTGATCAGACAAGCCCAAGTACTCAGCACACTTAAGAGCCACAGAACTACAGCAGCAGGTTCCCTACTAGTGCTTCAGGAAATCGTTACGGCATGGACCTCCTTGCCTGCCACACTGAAGGCAAACTCCAGCAGCAGCCAACTAAAATGGGGAGGAAAAGGAAATAAAAATAGGCTGGAAGAGCATCCCAGGAGCACAGCATGCCCCAGGCTTTCTGGAGATCCTGACACCATGGAGCATTTTACTCTAGTCTTCAACTGGGTAAGTTAAAAGCAATTTTGCCACTGACAGCCACCCTGACTGTTAATCCAGTCTCAAACAGGCTTTTCATGGCTCGAATGCAGAATCAGAGGAAATCATGTTGCTTATCAGTAAGATGCTCTCAACTCCACAAGGCAGAGCTGGAATGACCCAAGGAAGCCCAGTCTCAATCTGAGCCCTCGTGGCAACAGAAACAAGCACACCTGATGAACTGAGAACAATGTTTTGTTCTTTACTGAACTGTTCCCACTCCCTCAATGCTTCCCATAACATGACAGAATCCTGACTCCAAAAGTCTCAAGGGAACTATTTATCACTAATTCTCCCAGGGAAATCTGCATATTATTTCAAGCTTAATCATGCTGCAAAGGACTCTTCTTTCAAAGAAAAATACACACCTGCCTCTGAAGACACACACAAGCATAAGCACAGAGAGGAACCCAAGCAAGCAGGAAAGATAATGGATCAAGTATTTCAGCCACTGTGGACTCAGACCAAAGACAGTTCAGACTCCCAGAGAAGTGATTTTATTGAAAAAGAAAGTTGGCACACAGCAGACGCTCTATCCTAATGTGAACTTTAAAATATATTTTTCAATTCACATCGACATGCACCTCAAACACGGGTAACTAAAATGTAACAGGCTGTTCTGCAGTCAATTCCCAAGCCCTTGTGAGATGCCTGTTTCGAGTGGGACTCTATGCAGGGTAACATGTTACTGCGGAGCGTGGAAAACGAGAAGTTTTCAGGTGATGGGGCAGGCAATGAAGCTTGTCGTCTGAGGCTTGGCCAGCTTCCCCCGAAGCACCCTAGCTTATCAGACAGTGTACTCCCTTGACAGGTGCTGCTTCTCCTTCTGAAATAAATTGATTTGACAGGGCAATATTAACAGTGCCCTGAGTTGTTGAGAAAGCTGCGTACAACAAGAGATCTTTGTTCATCTGCCTTGGGTAAGCTCACAGGGGCGGATGTGAAAGGTATTCCTGATTCACTGACTCCAGAAAAAAAAAGCCAAAAAACACACTAAAAACCCCTCCTGATTCACTGACTCCAGAAAAAAAACCCAAAAAAACACACTAAAAACCCTACATGAAACCCACACACAATCACAATAAAACAAAACCTAAGTTAAAAAAAGAAAAAAGCCAAGAAGAAGAAACAGAGTCTGCAGGAGAACATTATATAGGTGAGCAATAGGG